CCCCCCCGATTTCGATCGAGCTCCCCCCGACCCATCAGAAGATGCAGCGGAAAATCGAGGAGGGGGTGGGAGGGACACAACGACCCCTCCCCAAACTTCCCCCGAGGCAGCGGCTGCACGAAACCCACTTTTATTGAATTAACAAAATAATAATTAAACACCAATAAGGGGGGGGGGGGGGGGGGCAGGGCCAGCCTGGAGCCCCCTCCCCCGAGCGCGGCGGTCACCGGGGGGGGCCCCACCGGGACCCTCAGGAGTCCACGTGTCCCGGTTCAGTTCCGTCTGTCCCGAGCGGGATTCCCGCACCAGCCTCGTGTGTCCCGGGGGGGTCCCCATCCAGTTCAGGGAGTCCCGAGGGTCCCTCTCCAGTTCCACGTGTCCCGGGGGAAGGGGGGGGGGTGTCCCCGTACCAGTTCCGTGTGTTTTCCGGGGGGATCCCCATCCAGTTCGGTGAGTTCCCGTTCCAGTCCCGTGTGTCCCGGGGGGTCTCCGGGGGGCTCAGCACGCCCCGACGGCGCGGACCAGGAGCCCGAAGGCAGCGGCGGGAGCCCCCCCCGAGCAGCGCCCGGGCGGTCCCGGGGGCACCGGCGGCTCCTCCGCCTCCAGCCGCGCCCGTTTGCTCGGCCCCGGCCCCGCCGAGCCGCCGCTGCGCCGCTTCCGCCCGGCCCGGGGGGCTCCGGGGGGCCGGGGGGCTCCTGGGGCAGCGCTCGGGGGGTCCCGAGGGGGCGGGTCACGGGCCCGGCTCGGGGAATCCCGAGGGGGGTCCCGGTCGGCGGGGTCCGGGCTCTGGGGGGTCCGTGGGGGCCGGTGGGTCACCGCTTGGGCCGCTCGGGGGGAGCTCCCCGGTCGGTCGGTTCGGGGGGTCCCCGCTCGTGTCCATCGGGGGGTCTGCCCCGTCCGAAGCGCTGCGGGGGTCCTCGGTTGGGTCCCTCGGGGGGTCTCCCCGTTTCTGGCCGGTGTGAGGGTCCCCGGTGGGTCGGGTGGGGTTCCAGGCTCTGCGGGGGTCCCCGCTCGGGTCCATCGGGGGGTCCCCTCGGTCCGGGGCGGTGCGGGGGTCCCTCTTAGTGTCCATAGGGGAATCGCAGGCGGTGCGGGGGTCCCCGCTCGGGTCCATCTGGGGGTCTCCTCGGTCCGGGGCGGTTCGGGGGTCCCCGCTCGGGTCCCTCGGGTGGTCGCAGGCGGTGCGGGGGTCCCCGCTCGGTCGGTTCGGGGGGTCCCCCCGTTCCGGGGGGGTCTCTCCGCCCGCCGTGTCCCCGGGCGGTGCGGGCCCCGGAGGGGTCCCGGTGGCGGCGGCGGCGGCGCGGGCGCTCAGGTACCGGTGGCGGGCGGCGCGGACGAGCAGCGAGAGCTGGAGGCTCCGGTGCAGGCGGAGGCCCCCCCGCCGCACCCGGCACCGGTAGAGCTTCCACACCGACACCGTGAGCAGCCGCTGCGCCTCCTCCATCGCGAACCCGCGCCCAGTGCGGCGGGGCGGCCCCGCGCCCGCTCTTGTACCGCACGGACCCTCCCCCGCTCCTTCCCCCCCTCCGCCCCGCGCCGCCACCGCATCCGGCCCCGCGGCCGCCCTTGGACCGCCCCCCCCGCCCTTGGACCGCCCCGGGAACCCCCCCGATCCCGCCCCGACCCCCCCAAAACCCCCCAACCCCCGCCACCGCATCCGGCCCCGGGGCGGCTCATCCCGGCTCAGCGGCGCCGGGGACGGAAATGGGTCGGGGGGGGGCTGGGGGGG